TTTTCGCAAGATTAAACGTAATGTTCTTTTTGGTGTAGTAAAGATAATGACTATTAAAATTTAAATAATCATAAATGTTATTTTTTTTATAAAATATATTCGTTTTGATATATTTGTTATTTTGAAGAACAGCAGAAATGTCTGAAAAATTAATTATTTTATAAATATTTTCTTTTTCAATTAATTCAATGTCATAGTCAATTGTAAAGGTAATTGACTTGTTTCATTCAGCAAGTGAAAAAAAGTATAGTTTTTTCTTAAATTCCTACCGAAAGACATGCATAGCCTGGTACAAAGTCTGTTCCCATGTCTGTGCCTGTAATTTGGTGAAATAATTGGTTATTGTAGAGAAAGTTATTGTTTTTTAAAAAAAAGTATGCTGATTCTATAATGAAATTGGTAGTAACTTGTTCAGGTATTAGGTTTTTATGTTTTTCAACCCAGAATTTTAATGCTGTTAATCCAAGGTCATGGGGAATCATGGTGTAGAAGTTAACAATGTCAAACATTAATATAATACTCTAAATCAATAATAATCTAAATCCACTTTTCTTGGAATTTTTCTTAAAAAATCCCAATTATCTTTTATATAAGTTTTTTTTATAATATCGTACAATAGGAGATAGAATTAAGTGCAGAAGGTGCAAAAGCATGATGCTTTTAACTAACACTTCCTGTTTTAAAAAACATTAAACAATGATAACTAATAGTAACAATACCTTAATTGATTAAAAATTATACTTATGTAACACAAATAATAATTTTTTTTACATAACAGCACTTAAATTAGCACTACTGATGAAACATTGAAAGACCTCTAGTGCTAAATATATATTGTAATATTTTGTTACAAATCTTTTTAGAAATAAAAACTTTTTTAAAGTTGTTACTTTGCTTGACACACATTTTTTATTGTATTGGTTAAATTATATATATATATATATATATATATATATATATATATATATATATATATATATATATATATATATATATATATATATATATATATATATATATATATATACATATGTATATATTTGTGTGTGTGTTAAATTTAATATTAATTAAATTTAAAAAAATAAAATATGCAAACTTCTTTAGACTTTTTCTGAACTATTTAGAAATGAATTGTACAAAATATATTGTGATATTATTTTAGATTTAAAGCTGGGAGTAATTATGATTAATTATGATGAATAAGGGGTTGTCCATAAAGTACGTACGCTATTATTTCGACCCTCATCCTACCTAACATTTTTTGACATTTTTTTTTAATTTAGTGTTTTTTGTTTAGTTTATAATTGATCACCTTCACCCCCCTTTTCATATTTGCCATTTGCAGACCCCCTTTTCTGCATCCCCTTTTTTTCATGCTACAAGGTTAGTTACAAGGTTTTACAGCACACCCACGCTGAACCAGATTTTAGTTTGATGAAATGACATAGGGTTGTGTCATACCTTTTTGAAATTGTTAGAACCATACCATTCAGGGAAAGTTAGTGAAAAAAATCATAAAACTAATCTTTAAAAAATATTTGGGTTTATACAGGGGTCAAATAGGGTCCCGGACTTAGGCGCCCCTCTAACTGATATCAAGACCCACCACAGGGGTGCATGCAATTGTTGTACATTTTGTCAGAAAATATGACTAGTCGTTATATGTCCCCCTCAGATGGGTCTTAAAAGCAGTCTGAGGGGCGCAAATACCGAGTACTTTTTCCTTCTTAAAATTAAAAAGGAAAAAAAAACATTATTTTTAGAAAATATTTATTAAGCATTATTTAAATGTTTTCCATTGAAACTAACTACTGCTTTTTTCAAATACTTTGCATACTTTTGATGGTTATCAGACACTTTGAAACGTTCCCAAGCTTCTTTTAGAAATGAGTAGTAAAGAGCTTCCCCTGCTTGTTCACTAAAGCAACCCAATCCAATGTCCTTATCTATACAAAAAGGACCTACATGTTGAAATATAATGTGTAACTTCACAGTAACTGTCTTTTCATAATCTTCCACTAAGGTTGAATAATGATTCTTAAATAACCGGATGTCTTTTTCTAATGTTGGCCTTAAATTTACACCAAAACAAGAGTGAACAAGGTTTTTCAGAAGCCTGAATGCTTCACCTAATGGTTTTAATAGGACTGGAAACAAGTTATAGTACTTCACCCAATTTTTTAATATTTTTTGACAACCATTACCATTATATGACCCATTTCTCATTGATTTAGAACTATTTAAGTCATTTTCGATCTTTTTTAATAGTACTGGATCAGCTAATTTGTTTAATGTTTTAAAGATATGGTTTGTTGCCCCTTCCATCAAATGAAGTTCTGGAGGAGAAAGATGATTAACAACTAGATCATTATCATCAACAATTAAAAGAACTTCATTAATACAGTTAAAATATTCTTTTGCTCTAATTTTCTTTGATCAGCTCAATTTATACAATTTACTGCTTATTCTTAGTGACCCAAGTGTTCGTAACTCAGTGCAATCATTTTTAAAAACCTCTGTTCTGTTCCATGTACAAATATACCACGGATGAGTTGCCATGGAACTCGGAGACATACCACACATGACTTGAAAGAGTTTGATATCTGCCACACAAGTAAAGTTTATTTTATCCAAACAGAGTTTGTTAAGCAAAATTTTAACATTATGGTTTGTCTCTGGTACATCTGGTACCAGTGCTATAATAAATGATGCTTTCACAGATCCTTCCTTGAAATTTGGTGATTTAATTTCTCCATATTTTCTCTTTTTGTTTTTAATTGTTTCACTAGGATTTGATACAAAATTTAAGCAAACCTGAATATTTTATAATAAATTACACTTTTTATTATTTTTAATTATAAAAAAAAAGTGGCACATTATAAAATCAAATTACCTTAAGAAATCCCCGACCTCCGTCAATGGAAATTTTTATATACTGGTTTTGAGGATAGGCTCCTTTTTTATCTATTATTTGCCACAGAAACTCATTGACATCTGTTGTTCTGATAAATGGAGTTTAAACAAACTTTTTTCCTCTACAGATTTAATATTAAAAAGTTCAAAATCCTCAACAAAACAATCATCAAGTTGCTGGTCAATACGTTTGAGCTCTGCTGCTAACCCTGATTGTACAATTTTTCTATTTTGTGTTTTGAATCGTTATTCTTTTGCTGGCTTTAAAATTTTTGTGTTACTTAATTCTAAAGTTGATTGTATGTCAATCTTACTGTTTATAGACAGTTGTTGTATATTACTAGTATCATGGTTTCTCTTAAGTGTAAAACTTACTTTTTTACCACCAGTAGCAAGTATCGCTTGACCCTTTTTGTCTATTTTGTCTTTTATTAAAGAATTAGCTATTTGTTCAATTGTCTTGACATTATTTGCAAGCTTTTGCATTACATTACATTTAAGTACAGCTAAAGAGCATTTGTGGGTAATTCCTTTGCTAATAATTGAAAAGCAAGTTTGACAAGTTAGACTAATAACTGGAGGTTGCTCGTTACATATACGTCCCTTTTTGAATTTTTTAAGTCTTCCTTGGGTAGATCCAATTATACATATTTTGCATTTACATACAAAAACACTTCTAGTTTAAACGGGTAATTTCATTTTATTCTACTTTACGTGTAAAGCTCTTTTCCTCTTCTTATACTGCTTTTGCAAGATTCTCAAAAAGCTTTAGGATAGAATGAATTTTTAATGTTGTATTTAAAATTCACTAGATTTTTAATCCACGGTACATTAATATCGTTAAGTTTATTTGTTTTTTTGGCACAATATAAACACACTTTTCTCCTGTTTTCCTCATGAGTACAGGTCGGTTTAAATAAACTCATTCTATCTAGAAAAATAAAACAATTTAAGAACACAGAGAAAACACACTTTTTATTATACCTAAAATATAAAGATTTATATACCATATAATAATTCTTTAAAAAAAGGTTCAAACACTATACAAATATAACATAATATAATACAAATATAAATGCTGACTATTACAGCATATAGATTCCTTATTAAATTCCATTTAACATTACTTACAAGCGTTGTTTATTATACTTCAATTTTTAAGGTTAAAACAAAATGAAAATATGCAGAATTAAGAAGTTTCATTACTCATGTGTTAATGATGAGTTGTCGTCTGTTTGTGGTCTGTTTTGCATTGTTCAGTATAAAACTATTGCTCAGTATAAAACTACTGTACAATATTTGTATGCTTTTTTATTTTATTTTTTCAATGAAAACATATTTGACTAGATTGATAAAGTGATTTTTGATATTTTGTTTAAAGTAAAATATATTATTTGTTCTTTATAAACTTATTTATAAAGTTTAATAATGATTATATACACACGGGTCAAAATAGGTGATGAGCTTTGAAGCCCCTCGGGTTGTTTTTTAGACCATCTAGAAGAGGCAACTAATAACTAGTTATATTATTTAACAAAATATAAAACAGTTGTTTTCCCCCCTCGGGTTGGTCTCATGATCAACCAGAGGGGCGTCAAAGTTTGGGAACCGTTTTGTATAAACCCAAATATTTTTTAAAGATTAGTTTTATGATTTTTTTCACTAACTTTCCCTGAATGGTATGGTTCTAACAATTTCAAAAAGGTATGACACAACCCTATGTCATTTCATCAAACTAAAATCTGGTTCAGCGTGGGTGTGGCAGGTAGATGAAGTGATTTTACACATTTCTACTTCAAAACACTTCTCTTGTTTTAGTGGTTTTGTTGTTTGTTTGTTTTTTGTTTATTTGTATTTATTTTTTGTGTGATATGAATATATCACACAAAATAGTGTTGCCTGTTAACCAAGTGTACTTAAATATTTCAAAACACTTTTTTTTTAAAGTTTTGTTGATATAAATAATTTTAATTTGCGCAGTTTGATAAATATAATTTATTGATAATTATAAAAGTCAGTCTTCATGATTACTTTTTATGTTTTTTCATAAAATGTTTATATGATATGTTTTTTACTTTTTCTTACAGATTTGAAACAACAAATGATATAACCAAGGAAGGAGATGAGGTTATTAAATAATTATAAACATGTGTGTGTGTCTTGTATATTACTCTTAGGTGCTTAATACATGGGAGGGGACATTTATTGATTTTTGGAAATTTTAAACTTCCAACCCACCAAAAGTTCCCACCCCTAAAGTGAGCTGACATGGACCATGTTTCTGATATGTTTCCTATCGGTGTAGCTGTTGATTTTACTTTGTTAAGGTTTTACAGTCTTGACTTGAAAAAGTGTTAAACTATGAATTGAAAATGATTGCCATTTTTTGTATACTAAAATTAAACTAAGGCTCGTAAAGAGTATGTAGTTAGTTTTTATTTTTTATCTTAAAAATAACCTAATTTTTGTAAAATTACCTTACATACAATACATTTACATACAATACAGCAAAACATACAAATAAACTTAATTTTTTTTACATGTGAAGACATGTTAAACTCTTTATTAACCAAAATAAAGGTAAAATTGATATTTTGTTTTCATTTGAAAAAAAAAATTTAGAATTATTTTCAAATCCTTCAAAAAGTAAAAAAGAGTTTACTTTTCCCCAATTCAATCAATTCTTAAATTTTTTTTTATTTATGTAATGACTAGCAAAATTAGCTTAACCCCTTATTCAGTTTGCACACACTCACGCCCTTCTATAATAATAGGCCTTGATATCGCGCAAATCACTGTAAAAACTGAAGGCCGATTAAACTTTGACTTTTACTTATATTGATATGTTTTTATAATAGGTAGGGTGTAACGGCATTCTATGTTTACAGAATTACTTAAGCTTGCAGAAACATAACTAAAAAAAAGGTAGCAATAAAAAACACCAACAAAAATTGATTCATACAAAAAAAAAAGTTTTATCAATATATCTCAACAGAGTAAGTATTTAAAAATCATAACATAAGTAAATAACATCATAAATTACAAAACTAATTTTTACATAAATTATGATAGCTTTAGTATTTTCGTTTTAGATTCTTTGCTACTGCTGGAAGTGGTAATTAGTGCATAATTCTTTAGCAAAATATTAGAATATATTCTGCATTGTTTTTTTGTTATTTTAAATTTATATTTAGCTGCAATGAACTGAAAATGAGTAAAACAAAATGTTCTGCAGAAAGGGCCAGTAGCACCTTGAATAAACAAAAAGCAAAATATTAATAATAAATAAACAAGTTCGCCTCTGTTTAGGCTATTCAGATAACTTTCATTTTTATAATAATAATAATTGGTAGTGTCATCATAAATTTTTATTTCGTTTTTTTGCACATAGCCAGCTATGTAAGCTATAGCCACTAATGTAGATTTATTAATTGAGCTTTCAAGATCATGTATATTATCCAGCAGTTCTTTTTCATCAGTAGAAATATCTCTAAAACATGTGTCACAATTAAATACCATCAATACCATCAACAGGAATGTCACGTTGTAATATCAATTTAGTATGTTGAATATTAATTTATCAGTTACAGATTTAGCGTTTGTAAAGTAAGTACCTCCAGATCCCTGTCGAAGCTCAGAAAAAGCTTTTTCAAGTGGATCTGTTGAAAACCAACCTAATAAGACATACTTTGTTCCATTACTCAACAAAGTTTCTACGAGATCAATTAAGCCATAACATGTATGCGCTATTGCATTGCTAGTAAGCAATGAGACCTACAGGTAAGCTGTTTTACACGCTTACCTGTAGGTCTCATAAAATTTGCAGTTAAGTAATATCTCGTAATATAAATGTAATAAGTAATATAAATGTAAACACAGTGTTAGAAATCGGCCTTCAGTTAAACAACTTTGTTGCGCGATGCCAAGGCCTGTTATTATAGAAGGCCGTGCACACATTGTAAACAGCCTTGATAAATACTACTTAATTTAAAAAATTTAAAAAAAAAACTTTTTAAAATATAAAAAATTTTAATTAGCCTAAAGAAATTTACGGTAAGTTTCTATAAATATTACAGAGGTTTTAGGCAAATTGTTAGAAACACAAAGTGAAAAAATATTGAATTTTAGTGCAAAGTTATGGTACTGAAGTTCTTACAGACTGGCAATAAAACAAAATTTACAACGATTTGGATGACTTAGTATCCAATGTCAAAGCATTAATTTTATCCAAGAAACGTAGCTTCTTTGAATATGGACTCTATGCCAGAGAAACAGGCGCGAATTCAGCATTTTTTGGTTTTTGGAATGGGTAATTTCCAGACATGGAGAAAAACTCCAAGCATTTATATGTTTATACTTATGTCAAATAAGGATGCTTTGCAAAAATTTGCGATGATTGGAGCCTGGAAATAAAAAAAACCCAAAAAAATATTTCATCAACTTGTTGCTCTCACGTTTGGGGCAGAGGGGCAAAATTTTGGAGCATTTTTGTTTCCAGGCTCCGATCATTGCAATTTTTTGCAAAGCATCCTTATTTGACATACAATACATCCTTATTTGACATACAATTATCCTTATATACAAGTATAAACATACAAAGACCAAAAAATACTAGACCTGCCCCTGCGAAGAAATGGGAAGCAGTTCTTGATGCGAATGGTGACTATTTTTTTTTTTTTTTTTTTATTGTAGTTATTTTAGGTGCTCCCAGAAGTCCTTACGGTCTTATCACAGAGCACCGCGGGAGAGCATTTAACAGGAAGTTCACGCCTCCTTCCTTACCAATGTCGCTTGTTGGGCTAGAGCTGGCGTTGAACCTCGCACCTCTGGGTTCTGAGCCAGAACTCTAACCACTGCGCCACGGCTACTACGCCACTATGCTTCAGAATAGTTATTAAATCATCTATTTATCATAGATTTTTATCATTTTTCTTGAATAAAATGTTTTTTTTCATTTTTCTAATGAATTTCTATGAGAAAAATAATCACATAAGCCTGCGTAGTACTGCTTTGCAAAAATTTAAACGATGTATGTTCACGTGATAATTTTGTTGAAAAACAGATGTGGACACTAGGGTTATGACATCTTTTGAATCTGTTGTGGCTATACTTCTATAACCTGAAAATTGGAGAGTATTTGATAAAAAAACTGTTTTATTGATTGCCTAGTTGCAAAAATAACTTCATTCCCCCCCCCCCCTCCTAGTTAATAATATGATTTTTCATATATTACATGAGGACTTTTAAAGCCTATTTCCCACACATTTATAAACAGCCACAAAAAACAAACTGTAAATTATATTTAGTATTTAAAAATTACATGTCACCTAAGTGGATCACTAAAAGTAATTATTTTCTGCAAGTACTATATTCTGTATTTGTTTAATATTTCAGTTCAGAGCAACATATTACACAGAAAATAGTTTTACTCATGTTTGATGCTTTACATCTTATTTAAAATCAAATACTTCAACAAGAGTCATAAAAAACAACACAATGATTTTAATAACATAATTCAATTGTGTGTGGGCAAGGGACATTTTTTAACTATATTCGATATTACTTTGAAATTTTAATTTTAACTACCAATTTCTCAGATTTTTAAACTATGGCCGAAACTGTGACAAAAGTTAAAAAATATCTATCCAATATATTGGATCTGTGCTTAATTATTGAGGTTTTTATTCAACACATTTTATACAAAGAAGACAAAAAAAATATTTAGTAAATATATGATTTTCCCGTTCCTGCAGAGAAACGATTAAGTAAAAAGTTTCCACTTGAAGGAAATATGCCAACAAAAAAATTTAAGTTATGCAGTTTTTGTTACTTTAATTGGATAGCTTTTTTCCGTTCCGCGGAAAATTTCCTTTAAATGAAAATCCACCCCTAATGACTTTTACTTGTATATCGGTGCTAGAGGACTTTTAATTTTTAATAGCTTATTATCTTTTCTGAAGAAAGTTTTTTCCTAGGAGTTTATCCTTTTTTTATATATATAAATTTTGCTACGGAGTCTTTTATTTAACAAATTCATGAACTTATTATGATTTTGTCTTTAAACTTGCATAAATTACATCTACGGACGGGCAAGGTTCAACTTTAGATTTTTTTCTAAAAGACCTTGCTTACCTTAACATAAAATCAGTTTGATATTATGACCAGATCGAAAAAGTAATCATCTCCCCGGCGGGGAATCGAACCCCGGTCTCCCGCGTGACAGGCGGGGATACTTACCACTATACTACCGAGGACATATTATTTCTTCGGTTTATGATGATTATATATGTTATTCGTTATATTTGTAACAATTTTTTTTTGCCGTTTTGCTAAAATTTTGATTATATAATATCTGGCCGTAGTAAAAAAAAGTTTAATTTTAAAAAGTCATATGCATATTTTTAATAATTATTCCATTAGTATTTCATATATAGCTAAAGTTTCGTGGGTACATTTTGCGTGATTGCTAAATTATTTATCATATATTATTTAATTTTTTAAAAATGTTTAAAAAACCACATGTCTAGCAGGACTCAATAATGTAACAGATCTGGTCAGATTTAGATAATTTTAATTTTAAAAAATGGCAAATATTTTAAAAAACTCATTGTATTTCATGTCGAACCGCAATGAAATGTTAAAAAAAAAATTAGTTATTTACTATTTTGGCGCGCGCATACGTTCTTTAAACATCTGAATACGGATTATCGGAGTTTTGAAATAGTATATTAACTAATTTTATTTTAGCCGTCTCATTTGTTAATCAATAACGAAGATTCTTCTCATTCTGCTGAAAAAGTTTCTAAAAACACTAACAAACTATTGGTAAAAATGATTTTATCTAGTTTTATAATAAATTAAAGTTGTATTAATGATCCTTATTCAAAGTCATTTTTAAATTATATTTCAGATCAGAAGAAAACAAAGAACTCGAAAATAAAACTTAAAAAAGTGTTTTGTATTTAAGAAGTTCTATGGTTTTACTTTTGTAATATACTTTCTCTCAGTAATTTTTATCTTTTCTTTAATAAATTTCTATTTCTTATCACGTTGTTTTTAGAAAAAAAAACATTATTATTAAGATTTTAAATTTTATTTTGTTTTTTGTTTATATATAAAAAATATTACAAATAAAATAAAATTTAAAGTTAAATATATGAACAATAATAGAATGAGCTCAAAGAAGATATGGACAGAAAAATATCACCCTAATCTTTTCATTGCGCCCCTACGAATCATAATAGTTTGAATATCTTGTGTAATTTATACAAGATACTCAAACTTTAGTATAATCACATTGTATTTACGCAGTGTAAATAATTCGTATAAAAAATATATATATTTAAAATAAAGAGAAAAAATAAAATATATTAAAAATTTCAAGTTTTCGCACAGTGGGGCAGAAAAAGAAAACGTCGCACAGTGGGGCAGAATAGCTTTAAAATTGGACAAAAGTAATTTTTTTTTTTTTTTTTAATTTTTAAGTTAAATAATTATTTTAAGGGCACTTGTTAGGCTTAGGAAAAATTCCTCCATAGATTTTTAAATATTCGTTTCCAATTATCAGACGTTTTTAATGTATTTTCGTGTAATTTCGAGTAAAGTTTTTTAAAAAACCGGTAAGTGATAATAGAAAAAAGAAAATCAAAAGCTCGTATGAGTAAATAATATTAAAACGTATTCGTTAAAATTAATTACAGTAATTCGAATTAAATGCAAAAAGTCACTCAAAACAAGTTACTCGAAAACTCGATTAGTTTTACTCGTTTTAATTTGCTCAAAACAAATCTTACAACAACAACAAAAAAAAATGTCATTAGTTCATGCGTTTGTGACCTGATTTCTACTGATGTAATTGCCACATTTCCAATTTTACACACAAAAGGGCTCAATAACGTGTCAGATAGTTAGACCTACAAAAATCTCGACCTACTAAGTTGTTCTACAAAAAGGAGATCTACTATAAAGTGGAACTAATTTTCAGACAACCTACTGAGGCCTAAATTGTTTTCTTTTTTATTTTCAACCGATTCACGACGTTTTCGTTTTCGACCGATTTTTTTTTCGACCTATTTGATAGATTTTAATTTTTAACCGATTATCTGATTGGTCTGTGTTTTTAACATGTTTTTTTTTTTTTAAATAAAGAATTTTTTTTTTTTTTTTAAATTAACAATCAATTAGTTTTTCCGACCTAAATACCTCCCGATTCTGAATTTGGCTGGTTCAAATTCAATTCAACAACAAAATATACAAAATACCTAGGGGAAGGTGTAGCTATAAAATTGAAAATACATTGAGTTGAATATTTAGTAGGTTGAAAATTCAATAGATTGAAAATGCAGTTGGTTAACGATTTAGTAGGTTGGAAAATTAGTAGTACATATTTTATTTAAGTAAATATAAAAATCAAAAATTGTCGGTTGAAAATCAAAAACGTCATACTCTACAATTTATGAAATTTTAAAATTAGGTTGAGTTATAGGCCACCCCCAACAAATACAAAAAAAAAAAAAGGTTTTACAATCTGTAATGATCAACGATAGGGTATAACAAAAATATAAATATATAAAAAAAAAACATCTCCGAGTTTTCCTAATAGGTCCAAATAGGCTGAAAAAAGCAAAAAAAATCTTTGCTCTTGTAAAAGCGATAGCTGAAAAATTTCATTTTTCAAATAAAAAGCAACTTTTACAAAAAAACTATGTATTTTAGTAACTCTCTTAAAAATATATTTTTTAACTTAGAAATTAAGCGTTTATGAGTTACTTCTTTGTTAGTTCTTTCTTTTATTTCTTTCTGTTGTCTCTGGCAACGAGCATGAGGTTCTGTTTTATGTTATCCGAATTAGTATATGTAGTGTAGCCTCCAACAAAATCCTAGATTAGTCGGATATTTCTTTGAGCGCCGTCATTAATCGAATTCAAAAACCATTTAAATGTTTCACTGGCATCTCCCTTGAGCTACTTCTCCGCCTCTCCAAAAGAAATACCTACTACCATAAACAAGATCCAACTCTAAGAACCTACCAGCTCAAATAGCTTTTCTTTACCTTCTCGTCAAAATCATCGTCAGCTAGGACCAGTATAACTAACTGTTCTGTTAAGTACCAAGTGTGCCGCAGCATGCTGACAAGAAGTGGCTGCTTATGTTTTGGATAGTAGTGCCATATTCCAATTGATGACTTGAAGGCAGCTAGGTCATTTGAAGGCGACTTGTCAACCATATATGATTTTAAGAAACAGGATCCATACCATATAGAAAAAAAGAATGTTGCAGTCTTTACCATCTTCTTCTCTTCCTCATTTATCACCTGGGCTCCTTCTTAATCATCCTCAGTGTCAGCAGGTATAGAGCATCTGCCATGAACCTTTAAAATAAATTATTATTAATATATAGAAAAATATTGAAAATGTACTCTCTTCTAAAGATGCAAGTTATTGATAATATACTTTAACCATACCTGGCTTTTTGGCAGGCTTCAGGTTGGTATAAACAAAACCCTGGTACATCTTCTCCTAAATAGAATACAACTAGTTCACAGGGCTTCTTGCAGTCGCCTCTTTCAAATGTCTTTGTGTTGTACAAGGATGATCCAACCTGTAACTCATTCCAATCAAACCTAATTACCTCCTCTATTTTGTCCACCTCCTCCTTAATGCTTGGTCAAGTTTTCTGAAGTCTTAAATATAGTGCTCTCCTGGGCCCCTTTGTTTTTTTCACCGGTAAGAGCCTCCATGAAATGTGAGATGTGTATCTCAAACATGTGTTGTTTGCAAAGAAACCAGAGAAACGGAATGTTTAGGATGTCTGTGAGGTTTGTAATGGCTCCAGCAAACACTCCAGTGTTGGAAGTAGTAGTGTCACGCATATGGCAAAGATCTAATCAACAATGTTGTAATGTTCTAGGAGATTTAAAATTATATCTGCCTGATCAACTCTCTTGAAACTTTGAGCTTAAATTACTTCAAAGAGGATGTTATTTGTGTCGTCAATATCTGGTGATGCAACACTAACAGAAATCATGCCAACAGTAACAGTAATATTTAGATTCTCCTATATCTCTTTTATTTTTTGCTGTCAAAGTGCAGGATAAGTCTCTTTCTTTTTAATATTTCCATTATATCTTGCCTTATCTAGTCTCCTAGTATTCAAAATAACTTTATTACCAAATTAATTAAATTTTTATTAATTCTATTATTTTTTTCGATTAGTTATTTTTACCTAGATCTTCAATCATCTTGAATCTCTTTCGATGAACAGAGCTTTCGATGAACAGAGCTTTCGATGAACAGAGCTTTCGATGAACAGAGCTTTCGATGAACAGAGCTTTCGATGAACAGAGCTTTCGATGAAAAGAGCTTTCGATGAACAAAGCTTTCGATGAACAGAGCTTTCGATGAACAGAGCTTTCGATGAACAGAGCTTTCGATGAAAAGAGCTTTCGATGAACAGAGCTTTTGAAGATTCTCAAGATTTACGTCTGCTTTATTACATATTGCTGCAATGATCACGGTTTGAGGTCGGATTTCAACCTTATACCGAGCAGATACCACAGAAGTGCAATGCACTAGATCCCCAGGACTAATATTTTTTATTTATCCAAATATTAAATAGAAGTGATATTTTTAATCTAGTTGAATGCAGTTAAATTTAGTTTACTCAAATTTTATACAAATACCTTTAGATTTTATAATAATTTTTTATTTACTTTGGCTTTACTGTAGAACCAAAGTTTTGAAGTAATTCATCGACATTATCTTTATCTGTGAAAACTGCCGTTTCTGTTTCGGATGCAGATGAGTTGATATCAGAATCATATGAAACCTCATTAGGAACCCTTTTCTTATTATCTTTTTCTGCTGTTGTAATCTTCATGTTCTTCATTCTCTGCCAACGATCCTGTCAATGTTTAATAGGTGCTTCAAATTCTTTGTCTATTTCTGTAGTTATATACATTTTTTGATCCTCTCTCTGTTCTAAAAAAAACTGAATGTCTTCCGCCTTGGCATCCTGGGTACGAAGGCGGTCTGATTGGATTTTTTCCTCAAACCTTGCTACAAATATGTTGAAGAGTTTAGTGCTCTCCTGAATGAACTCTCTCTCTTAGCAAATCTACCAGTTCTAGAATCCCAGTTTAGTTCTCTCAAATGGATTAGTTTGCAATAATTAGTATGGAGTTTCAAAATCTTATCCCTTAATGATATAAAAAATCAATATACAAAGTTTCATAACTATCTAGGTATGGTTACTTTTTATAAATTATATTAATAATATTAATGTTTGTTGATTTATTTAAAATTGCATTATTTCTTACCTAACAGCAGCTCCAGAAAAGATAAACTCTCCGAAACCAGCTTTGTTCCACACATCCATTACAAGAGCAGTAACACATCTGTGGTTGGGATTTCTACATAATCCACCCTTGCAGATAAGACCTTTGCCTGGAAACGTTTGAGACCAAGCTACAATTGGCTTATTACATTTAAATTTCAAAGACCTTGGATATTTGATAAACTGTATGTATCTAAGAACATTTCTAATGCTGGGAAGCTGGTATTATAAGTAATTGGTTGATAGGATACTTGAGAAGGAACAGTAGGCTTCTGGGATTGGTCTATATCTTTCTCTTTTCTCCTTTATTTGTATATTTTGTGGGAGAACGGCTCATATTACAAAAAACTATGAAACTTTAAATTAAATAACATACATGAGTAAATTTAATCACCTTAAAAATTTAAAATATGTGTAACCAAAACCGAATAATTAAATTTACCTTTTTAATTGACCATCGGCTACTTGACAAGTTGCGTTTTTTTACTATTATTCAACCTTACACTAAGGGGCTATTCATATATGTATAAAATCATCCCGCCTAACCGTGACAGAAAAACAATCGGGATCCCACCTATCTTAATAAACTCTTATAGTTTTAACATTGCGTTCATATATAAATTCTTTCGCCCCGCCTAAGCGGAATCTTGCCTATGGGACTACCGGGATCCTGGTCAGGCGGGGTAAAAATTCTTTGTATGAACACAAGTT